CGACTCTGCCCCTGGCACTAATCAGGTTCGAGGAACCATCCACCCGAAGCTGTCCTTTGTGTGACACCTTCGGTTCATAGGATATATCGAAGGAACTGAGTTCGATTGCCCATTTAGTTATTCTTCCAGATAAGTCTAGCTTGGAGAGAATGACTCGCATGGGGTAGTTGGTAAGAACTTTGATACCGTGTGACTTAGAGTAGTGTTGAAGCTTTCTCTTTGCATACACCAATGCTAGTATGATCTTCTCTGCTTTGCTGTATCGTGTTTCTGCATCTGTCATCGTCTTACTGGTGTAGAAAACTGGATACTGATTTTTCCCTTCTTCTCTAATCAACACTGCACTCGTGGCTATGCTGGAGATGTCTAAGTATATGATAAGAGTTTCACCAGGCTTCGGAGCTGACAGAATTGGGGGTTCAACCATGTAGCACTTTAGTTGATTGAGAGTAGCCTGCTGTTGTGGTCCCCATATGTTTTTGTTTTTGGACCTTATTGCATCAAAGAATGGTTTGCACTTATCTGATAATTGAGAGATAAATCGACTGAGAGCTGCGATTCGGCCAGTCAAAACCTGTACTTCCCTGCGGATTTTTGGTTCTTGATTTTGTATAAAGGCTTAAGCCTGAGCCGGACTCACTTCAATTCCCCTTTTGTTTACAATATGGCCGAGGAACTGTCCTGAAGAAACCGCAAAAGAGCACTTCGAAGGGTTTAGCTTCATATCATACCTTCTTAAAGTGTCAAAGACCTCTTGGAGGTGCTTAGGATATTTCTCCTTCTTCACACTTTTGACCACCATGTCGTCGATATAGGCCTTAACTGTCTTTCCCAACATCTCGTCGAAAATCTTGTTAACAAAGTGCTGGTAAGTTGCCCCAGCATTCTTGAGTACGAATGGCATGACTCTATAACAGTAGGTGCCCTTCTCTATTATGAAGGCAGTTTTCTCTTCATCTTCTGGATTCATAGGGATTTGGTTATAGCCGGAGTATGCATCAAGAAATGTGAGCCTTTCAAAACCAGTGGTAGCATCAACCATCTGATCTATTTTGGGTAATGGAAAACTGTCTTTAGGGCAGGCTTTGTTGAGATTGGTAAAATCTATGCACACCCTCTATTTTTCATTCTTCTTCTGAACTACCACCACGTTAGAGAGCCATTATGGGTAGTACACCTCTCTGATGAAGCCCGCCTGAAGCAATTTGCTTACTTCTTCAGCTATAATTCGGTTGCGCTCAGGAGCGAACCTTCTGTACCGCTGTTTGACTGGTTTGAACGCCGGATCCACCCTCAGGCTATGGTATGAGACTAAAGGATTGATTCCCACCATGTTTGAATGCTCCCAAGCAAATGCACCTGCGTTCCGTCGAATGACATCAATTAACGCTTTCTTTTCTTCGGTTGTGGGGGAAGAACCTATATAGGTTACCTTCTGAGGATCGCCGAGGATTACTTTGACAGCCTCCAGAGACTCCTCAGTAGGCTTTTCAGCTTCGCCCTCATCTTTTGGTTTCAAATACCTAGGCAGAGGGTTCTGTAATTGCTATTTGGACATGCTCCTAGGAGGTGCGATTGGTTGGGACTGTTTCTTTGCTTCATTCTGTGTCAACATGTAGCATTCTTTGGCAGCGACTTGATCTCCCCTGAGATCAATAACCTCTTTTTCGTCCGGAGACAAGCATCACATCACTTGATGAAGGGTAAATAGAACCTCGTTCATTCGGTGGATCCAACCTCTTCCCATAATAAGATTATAAGAAGGGTGGATCTCCGTTAGAACAAAATTCTCCTTCAGTGTCCTCTTTGCCGTGGTCACGGATAGGTCAATTACCCCAATGGGGTCTACCTTTATGCCATCAAACCTCATCAAGGGGCTAGAGGTGGGCCGAATTGATGATGAAGGAATCTCCAGCTACTCAAAAACCGCTTTTGTGATGATATTGGCACTAATACCTAGAGCTATCAAAACCCTCCTAATTATGCAATTCGTCACCAAGAGACTGATGACTAACGGATCCTCGTGGGGGAGTTGAACTTTGGATAGATCTCTTTTGCCGAACCTAATATTAACGCTTCCCGAAGCGATAGTGTTCACTAAGGATAACCTTCTTAGCTTATGGGCTATCCTCAGTCGGGATCTATATACCTCCTCTGACTCTTGATCATCCTCCGATCTTCCATATATTGCATGGATGACCTTCACCTGATTACCTTCGACTTTACGAGGATTGACCTCCCGGGGCTTCACGTACTCCTTTGTTGTGAGGTAGTCTTCCAATTCACCTCTCATTATTATGTTTTCAACCTGCCGCCTAAGGGATCTACAATGATTAGTTGTACGCCTGTAATCTCTATGGTAGGCGCAGTGCTTGTTCTTGTCTCTTTGCTCCAAAGGTTGTCTTATTGGTTGAGGGGTTGCAAACTTCATCTTATTATCTTGGAATAGCTGAGCCAAGGTTGTGCGAAGAGGTGTGAATCTTTCCTCTGTCCTTTGTTTTTTCTTGGGTATCTGAATGACTGGTATTGAAGAATGCTGGTTTTTTCGGTTTTTTTAGTTTGAAACCCTTTTCTGAGGCCTGTTCTCCACTGTGACGAGGGTGGCATGTTGCGCTCAGTGAGTTATATTCTCCTCAAGCCAGATGTAGATCTGTGCCCTAGCATTGAGAGTCTGCATATCTGGAGGAGAATATTTAACTAGGGATGTATGGAACTTGGTTCCTTGAATCATTGCAAGTTTGAATGTTTCTATTGCGGTAGCAGGATGGAAATCTGCTATTTCTGAAGCCTCCATGTTAAATCTGGACAAGAAATTCTGTAATGTTTCGCCTTTCTTTTGCCTTAAAGTGAAAAGGCTAACAATACTCTTCTTTTGCTTCTTATTACTATAATACTGCACCAGGAACATAGTGCACAGAGTTTCATAGTCCGGAATAGATTTGTGTGGCCTATTCCTGAACCACTCCAGCGCAGCCCCTATTAGACTGGTAGGGAAAACTTTGCACATCCATGGATCATTGTGATTGTCCAGAGCCATCTTTTGTGCGTAATGATCTAGGTGCCGAGAATGATCTCTCGTACCATCAAACTGGGTAAAGGAAGGCATAGTGAATTTATTTGGTCTGTCAATAAGGTACACATCGTCAGTGAATGGGATCTTCACAAGAGAATTCTTAAGTTCCCTGGCATCTTGGCAGGCGTTTGAACTCTCAGGAGTCTCTTCTCGTTAAATGCTTCCTTTACTCTTGCACCATCTGGAACACCATTAGACCAAACTGTAAGCTTACGGCTAGACTCGGCCTGTTCGTCCTGCGTTCGACGAGAAAGATTGTCCAAAGCTACCGCCTCAGACCTTGTCCTCTGCTTTTGCTGAAGTTCGCTGGACCGAACTTCATTAGGCCGAACCCCATTGACCCGAGGCTCATTAACCAGGGAGCGTTTTGGTTGGGAGAAGGCGCAGCTACATCAACTGGTGGTGGCTGAGGTGTCAACTAAGCCATAGCCGTTTGAAGGGTGTCATTTTGCTGTTGAAGCAATGCAATATGGGCTACACTGGCTTCGTTCGCCTGACGAAGTGTTTCAAATTGGTGCAAGAGCTCTTCTCGTATCTTTTGCATCAACTCCATCTGTTGATCAACCACCGTTGATTCTCCGTTCGACATTCTAGATCATCTAAACTAAAACAATTTGAAACAAAAGTGGGAGTATATTTCTATACGTTTCCCACAGACGGCGCCAAAGTGTAGGTGCAAAATTTCTCTCTATTAAAATAAATAAAAAGAAAAATACAACTCACTCAGAACAAGCAAATATAATACTCAGAGATAAGCGTATAATGCTCGATACTTTTATTGGAGGTCTAGGCCTCTATTTATAAAAAACAAGGTGCTGAAATTATGGTAGGACTCGCATGACTTGTCCTCCAATCCATTCCATATATGACATTCTTTATAATTATAATCCTTTCCTTTTTACAATTCTTTCCATGCAAAACTTTCCTTGCACATAACTTGTTTTCTTCGCTGAATCTTTTGTTTAGCAGGACTGGTTTACCTTTAATTGAGATTGGGCTGCGTGTGGGTTGATCCAAATGATTCGGTAAATGGGCTTGGAGTTCAACCTTGGCTCCCCGGGCTGTTGACACTCCCACTAGGCCTGAATGAGATTATGCGCATCTGAGGTTAGTAAATGGGCCGAATGGCCTGAGTTAGCGGTCTATATGGTAGCAAGACTTTGCCTGGGCTTGTTCCAGATTGGGTTCTCCTAATTTGGGCTTGACACCGATTGGGCCTTTGCTGTATCTAATATAAATTTGTAGTGTGATGACGTGGACAATTCTTACTGGAGGGGGGATTTTTTCCATCCACAAAGGGGTTTAGCGTAACACCAATAGACTGGGTGCTTCACAATTTGATCTGTCTGAAGCTGTTAGGTGAGACAAAACTCAATTCATTTACTTTCCCTTCCGAATCCGATATGGGACAAGCCCCACATTTCCACTTGTAATACCTTTGCTCTAATAAATTGTGCCCTAAATAATTTAATAACAAAAATAATGCAAATTATGATTTGCCTAATGTATAAACTGTATAATCCATCCTTCTCTTCACACCTTTTTTTTTTTTTTGGTAAGTCTACGTTCACTCATTCTTCTCCACCTATTCCACCGCAACTCGCCGCCGACGACTCTCTTGTATTTGTTCCAAAATTTAGTTGTTAAAAATTTCGTATTTGTTCCAAAATCTAGTTGTATTTGTTCCAAAATCTAGTTGTTAAAAATTTCATATTTTTTCTTTATATCATTTCAAATAGAATAAAATGAAAGGAAATTATACCATGGTATTTGACTCTACAAAAACATAAAGTAAAATTTTAATAGTTATTTAATTAATTAATTTATTTTAAATTGTTTTTATTTATTTATTTATTTTTTAAAGATCCAATACAAAACACACAGTTAAAAGAGTTGCAATTTACAACCCTTAACTGTAACGGTGGTGGTCGAAACTTCACTATTCCACATTCAATGCCCAATTGATTTGAAGTCGCATATATATTCATAAATATATACACATATATACGGAGTATAAAATTTCGCAGTTGTTGAAAGGAAAAAGGGTTCAAATCGTAACATGCGTGGTGATATCAGACCAGATCCAAATCGCATTCGGTAACTTCGTGGTTTTAGGGTTCGAGATCTGGCATTTTTTGATTAGCGAATTTCAATTTCCAGGTAAGCTTCACTGACTAAACCCTATAATTCGAAAATTTTGGGAAAGAGTAGAAACGATTTTGATTACACGAACTGGATTCATAAATAGAGAGGAAGAGAGAATTCGTGAGAGTTTGAGAGAGAGAGAGAGGCGGCTCAGTTGATTCTGATCTGGAGTTGTTGGCCTGTTGAAACACAGATTTCAGGTTTTTAGCCAATAATTTTCTGGCAATTGGAGGTGTTATTGTCATTGTAGTTCTCAAATTTTGGAAGGTGAAGTTGGAAAATGCCTGTGAAAGCTGCGAATTCGTCTTTCCGGGATCGCACGCACGAGTTTCTCAGTGTAGCTGAGAGGTTGAAGAAGTCATTTTCTTCTGCACAGAATGGGCCGAGTAGTAGTAGTTCAAAATCCGAGGAACAGCGTTCGGCAGTGGCGATGCAGTCGGAGTTTAACAAGAGGGCTTCAAAAATTGGGTTTGGGATACATCAGACGTCTCAGAAACTTGCAAAGCTGGCCAAGGGTAAGTAATTGAATCACAGCTTTTGAATGTGTGGTTGCTTGTTTGAATCTCTATATGGATTTGAAACTTCTGATGCGTCTATAGTGTTTGTAGTTCTCTTGAAATATAGTGTTCATTTAAAAACTTATTTGGGTAATTGTCATTAAAAGAATCTGGTCTACAAAATAGGGTGAAACACTCCGTTATTCTCATTCCAAATTGTTGCCTTATCGGTTTAGATAAGCTGATAGTGTGTCAGATGATAGGATTGTATGTTTCCTCCTGTTCTCTCCCCACGAAAAAAAGAAAAGAAAAAAGAAGTCGTTTCCCAAAGCATGCCCTCAAACCCCTTCTGCTTTAATTTTTTAGATTTGGGTGGTACTATTCGTAGTCATTTTCTACCCTTATTATTACATCACTTTTCTGATTATATATTTGTGTGTGTAATAAGAAGAGTTTGATTATATATATATATATATATAAACAATTTGAGAAATAATGGGTTATTTAGTTTGAACTTCGAACACAAAAAAGGAACAATATGTGGCATTAAATGGATAAACTTTGAGACAGATCCATGGAAAAACTTAGAGCATGCCTAGGCTCCATAGTTGGCCACATTTGATTGGAACAATCTGGCCGCCTCTAATTGGTTTCAGGATGACCCCAACTACTTGCATTTTCTATCTACGATATAGTAGATAAGAAGTACATGGCTTGTGTGGGACTACTTTTCTGGTGAGAGCTGATGAATGCTTAATTTATGAATACTCTATTTTGAACTGCCTCAGTTGGGAGTCAAAAGTTCTCCACACTAGTGCTCTATTTAATAAAAAGGTCTGCTCCCCTTCTCAACATCACGCTTGCTCAATTTGGCCCTCAGTTGAGCAAACACAACGTGATTATAGAATATGGCAACTCTACTATGTAGAGAAAAAATTTTGATGATAAAAAGAATGTAGCTGTGGTTGCCGAATTTTATCCAGATTTTATGATTGTATTATACAGATCAACAAAATCAATCCAGATTGCGCGCACACAAACACTCACAACAAAAAAATAAAAAGTAAAAAAAGAAAGAAAAAAGAAAATCTGAATTCTTGTGAAATCCATATGATCTTGTGGATCATGGATCTTTACTGGACTAACAATTTTATTGGACCTTTTGTTTGGTCTTATTTCAGTCTTATAATGTTTTATTTTTGTGGGTCTTCTTAATAAGTTAGGGCCCATGGATCAAATAATATCGTAAATGAAGACCAAGACCTAGGGGTGGCCACTGACCCACTACCTGTGTGTCTCAAAAGTCCCGACCCATCTGTAGGGTTTGGTTATATCTTAATGCCAGATCAACTTTTGGACTGATCTTGGGAGGAGTGTCTGTGAAGATGTTATATATTAGAAAAAACTTTCATACATATTATATATATATATATATTGATAAGTATACATATTATATAATTTTTTAGATACACAGAAAGATAGTTGAGGACCCAAGGTAAATATATACAACCCAGGCTATCATGACAATGGTGTTAGCTTCGTATTACATGTGTTCTTTCTCTTGCCACTCATCCATCTTGATGTCCTTATTTTGGTTCTGCACGCTATTCAAATACGTGTTGTCTAACATTATACTTTTAAAGGCATTCAATGATTATACAACTCATTAAAGGCATTTTTTCGAAACATTCATGCTACTTCAATTTTAGCTCAACATTGTCTCCTTTTTTCATTGTAGTGAAATGATCCAAGGCAATAAAAGTAGTTGTTATTGGGTATATAACAGCCATTAATATTTTCTATCTCATTTCAACTCTTAACTTTTTAAATTACATTCAATATTTTTTATTTTTCTGGTTACAAATTTGTTCTCTGTATAATTCTAGTATACTATATATATATATATATAGACATACCATTTGTTGCTCAAGTAGCAGTGCTTTTGCATGATGAAAATTAGTGAAGTCACATGCATTTAATCTATGATGTGCTTTTGCATTAGTATTCCTATAGTTATGTGGTAGTCTTACTTTACATGATGAAAATTAGTGAAGTCGTGTTTTGTTGGTTGAATTACTGCCAAGCATCTTTTTCAGCAAAGAAAGCTTTAACTAAAATTGTGCATAAGTATCTAAAGTCCAACCATAAATAAAGTAAAAACTAAGGGTTTTTTTTTTTTTTTGAGCATCTATAGTGAGAACATTAACACAATACTATTGGCCAGCATCATTTCATGTTAGAGGGGCAACATCACCTGGCTGTTGTTGAAATTATCTGTCACAAAAATGCAAGAGAAGGAGGGACTGGGAGAGACTGAGCTATTCCCTGGGCTAGGGCTGGCCTGAATTTTAATTTTTTTTCATTTTCTCTACTCCCCCATAAAAGTAATTTTCATGAGATATTTATAATATTCTTAATCTAATCAAATTATTTAGGAGTAGTTCCATTCTGCTACATCTAGTGACATTCATTCTGTCAAATAATACAACACTGCTTATTTCTTCATGGAAAGTAAGGTTAGGTGTCTGAATGTGCAAGAATTTGCTCTCTCTATTAGAAAAGTAAAATTGTTACACTTCAATCGAATCTCTTTACATTTCTTGCCTGTTTATATTTATAGAAGTCTCTACTTGCCCTAAAAATCCTTTGGTCTTATCTAAACCTCAAGATAATATGGGCTTCATCCCTCCTAAACAGGCTGGATCTCTTCTTGGGCCTCACCCTCAGTCAGAACAGGCCTTGAATGAGAATGAATGGGCTGGGGGGTCGCTGGGCTCTTCCCCTAACTGGCGGGCTGGGCCGAAGTTGGCCCAGTGGGGTTTTATGCCCCTTCAGTGTCCCCTTGATATACGAGGAATGACTAATATAATAATATCTAGGAATCAATGTCTCAGCATTGAAAAGGCATAACTTTGACAAATTTGCAATGGCATTGGTAATAAAGAAACTGCTAGAGTTCCTATCAAACCAGCAGTTTATTTTCTAACTGTCAAATAGGCTGCTTTTTATATATGCTTCTCTGTAGGTTTTCAGAATTAGTCTTTGTCTGTATAACTTACTGTGTCAGTGTGTCTTATCTAGAGAACCTAAAGTGATTCTTTCTGGTATTTTTTTATTTTTTATTTTTTATTTTTGTCATTAACTTTTTTAGGGTCCTTATGCTGCTCTGCAATTTCATAATGAGCAGATAGATTGCTGAGTTTTTGTTTATTTTGCATGATTTTATTTTTCTCCATTTCATGGATTAATGTAGTGCAAAAAAGGGAAAAAAAAGAAAAAAAGAAAAAAAAAGGGATCAGTGTAGCAGAATATTTACTGCAGCATATAGAACTGGGGACTAGTTCAGGGCCTGGGGAATAGTAAGTCCTCAAGCAGTACCCTTCTTTCATGAAACCTAACTAATTACTATATTCTATGTTTTTTTGGAAGATATACTATATTCTATATTTCTATGTTGTCTTTTGTTAAATAGTTACTTATTAAATGTGTTTTTAGATGCACATAAGTTTACTTTATTTACTAATTTTAGAAGATGTGATGCATATCACTATTGCTTTCTCCATTAAGCAAATTGACCGTGTAATGGACTTGATCTGCATGACATGCTCGTATTGGCTATGACCATGTTGATTGGTTTGGCTTGCTTGTGTGTAACCAGTAATGCTATATGTTGAGGCTGAAATTCGCGCAGTTCGATACGATACCGTTTTCCTGCAAGGAAGAGAGGAGAAGATCGATGAACCTTGACGGCACCGGTGTGGTGCCTGTCAAGAGCTCTCCGACGATCAAATTAGTTACGGAGGTCTAAAAAGAAGGCAAGGATTAATAATAGTTTTTACGTCGTACCTTCTTAAATGGCTTGATGCCCTATTTATGGCTGTCGATTGGAATCAAAATCGTTCCGCTGATATCGATGGTTGACCTTATCTTCCGCTTGTGCGAAATCATAGGAGATTTATTACCAGATTTGTCGGGATATGATTTAATCCTTTTGACCTCCTCTAGTTATAGTAGGATTATTCTTACTTGTTGAACCACGTCAGATTTGATTTCATTATCCTTGATAATGAAATCTAATCAATCTTATCGAGGGTAGGGTAGGTTTATATTTTTCCCTATTAGTTGCCCCCCATTCCCAAGCTTGCACGTCTAGCTTTGGGAATGTAATAAATAATAATAATACTTTATCTTTTTCTTTTTCTTTTTCTCTTTTTTTTTTTTTTTTCTTTGGTTGTTTTTTCAACCCTGGTGAACAGTACCCGCGGGTACTATTCACATAAATAGTACTTTCCTTTTATAAGGGAATAAATTATACGAGTTTCGTCCCTTTAGTAAGGGAATTGAAGTTAACGAGTTTTACTCAGCTCACCTCTTTAATAAAGGATTTTTATTTATTATCCCTTATTGTAAGGGGATATTAATTATGGGATTCATCCAACTCAGGTCATTGTAGTCCAGGACATTCATTTATTATCCTTATAGTACAGGATTATGGATTACGGGATTCATTCAACCCGGGTCCTGATAATACAAGATACTTATCCCCTATAGTCCAGGGATATGGATGACGGGATTCATTCAACTCGGGTCCTTGTAATACGGGACACTCATTTACTATTCCCTTATAGTACGGGGATACGGATTACGGGATTCATTCAGCCCGAGTCCTTGTAATACAGGACACTCATTTACTATCTCCTTTTAGTACGGGGATACGGATTACGGGATTCATTCAGCCCGGGTCCTTGTAATACAGGACACTCATTTACTATCCCTTATAGTACGGGGATACGGATTACGGGATTCATTCAGCCCGGGTCCTTGTAATACAGGACACTCATTTACTATCCCTTATAGTACGGGGATACGGCACGTATAAACTAAAAGGAATTTTATTAAAGACCATCATTATCAAAAACAAAATAACATGTGATGGAGCTATCCTCCATTTAAAATGATTAACTAAGATGCCCCCAGTCTTTATTGTGAATGACTTGATAAGGCTAATTCCAGCCGCG